GGTTATACTGGTTCTCTCTCATTCTGTAGATCAGACTGGTCTCAAATTCAAACTCAGAGATCCACTTGCCTCTGCCTCCTCAGTGCTGGATTAAAGGCATGTGTCACCATGCTCAGCTACCTCAATACATTTTTGTTTGTTTTTTGAGACAAGGTTTCTTTGTGTAGCCTTGGCTGTCCTGGAACTAATTCTGTATACCAGGTTGGCCTTGAACTTACCTGCCTCTGCCTCTCAAGTGCTAGGATCAAAGGTGTGCACCCCCAATGCTCAGCCTACTTCAATATATGTTTAGAAGCCGGAAATAATACAAAACATGCCCTGTCACTAAAATTAGAAATTAAAAGCAAGCACAAATTGGTTAACTCAGACATATATGGAAATTAAAATTAGGTCTCTTGGTATTTTTTCTTCAAGATCCTTCATGGTTTTATGTATGTACTGAGTGTTTATTTTGTTTTCTGCTCCTACACCTAGAAAGCTCTTTGGAGGTAGCAACTATGTCAATTGTGATTGCCACTGTACCTCTAGGATATGTAATATCTGGCAGAAAGCAGGGATTAAACATACTGGAGTATGAATGACTGAAGGTTATTGAATAATTTCTATGAGAATGAAGATACACTCATTAATTTATTAGTCTACAAATATTTATTGAACATTTATGTGCCAGATCTTGGGGTTTTAACAGTTATGACAAAATGCATACCTTGTGAAGCTCACTTTCTCGAGGGGATGACAGGTAATAAACAGAGGTATAATCAATTAAGACTTAGGCTGTTTTGTTCTGCTGAAACAGAATACTTAAAATTGAGTAATTTATAAAGACTAAAGGTGGCCAGGCGTTGGTGATGTACATCTTTAATCACAGCACTTGGGGGGTAGAGACAGGCGGATCTCTGTGAGTTCGAGGTCAGCCTGGACTACAGGGTTAGTTCCAGGATAGGCTCCAAAGCAATACAGAGAAACCCTGTCTGGAAAAACAAACAAAACAAACAAACATACAAAATAATAAAGGTGTATTTGGGCCCACAAATTAGAAAAGTTCAAAGCACATTGCATCTGAGCAGATGACAGTCAGAGCTCTGTAGTAGGTCTTGGCAGGAGAGAAGAAAAGAGTGATAAGAAGGCTTAAGGAAGAGGCACAAGAGATTGCCTTACTTTATAATAACTATCTTGTGAAACTGTCTTCTCTCCATTGAGGTATTAATCTCTTTTAATTACCTAATCACCCTTAAAGAAGCCAACTCCTAATACTGGTAATCAATTTCAACATGAGTTTGTTTGTTTTGCTTTTTTGAGACAGGGTTTCTCTGTGTATCTCTCTGGCTGCCCTGAAATTTGCTCTGTAGATGAGGCTGGCCCTGAACTAACAGAGATCCACTGATCTCTGCCTCCAAAGTACTGGAATTAAAGGTATGTGCCACCACTGCTGGTTCAACAGGGTTTCTCTGTGTAACAGTCCTGGAACTCACTCTGCAGATCAAGCTGGCCTCAAACTCACTGAGATCTGCCTGTCTCTGCCTCTCAAGTGCCGGGATTAAAGGCATTCACCCTCAATCACTTGGCACAACACAAACTTTTGAGGGGACAAATAATATCCACACTACAGCAGAAGGCACCATGCACTTCAGACATAGCACCCAGAGGAGCTGTGCTGGATCTGACCTGAGAGCCCCTTCCTGAGGATGAACTTTCATAGTGTCAGAAAGTGTCACACAAGCTTCCAAGGGAGAGAATCAAGCAGACTTACCCAGCTTCAACATCTGTGAAACACAACAACCAATAAGGCACAATAACCCTAAGGGAGCAAAAGTGGCATGCCTACCTTGGTGGTAACCAATAGTTCTGTAATTGGAATTAAAGCCTGATCAACAAAGGGGAAATTGTACCTGATACTGGAAACCCAGCCAACTACCCAGGGCCAGTGAAGTCATGCATCTTAGAGGAAAACCTACAATTGCCACTTAACTAAATTAACACACTTCACACTTCCTAACTACATTCTAAATATTTATACCCATAGGTAAGTGCAGTTCTTGACAATGCCTTGGTTGTAAACACAGAATTCCTATGAGGTTACAGCTGGCCTTTTAAGAGCAAGAGGAGCAGGAACTTTGTTGTGAGATTGTGTCTCCTGGAAATGCCAGTCAAGCTATACCCATGAAATTTCATCAGTATGGCTGCCTAGATAAGACCAGAGCAACAATGGCACCAGTGGAAATGCTAACACAGATGGGGAAAGCTCACAGGGCCTCAACCCTAGACAAGAAACTACATGCGACTGGGAAATCTTGAGTGTAAGAGAGTTTTCCTCAGGGAAGAGTCCAACTGGTCACTCAAAACCAAGTGCTCAGCTTTGGGACCCTATACATGCAAGTAACATATATGGACTGAGCAGCTTGTACTTATTCATTTAGGGATATATATATATCCCTACATACATATATGTACATATGTAACAATGTAACAATAAAAGAAAATGAAGCCATGATGTGAGAGAAAGCAAGGCAAATACAAGGGAAGGGGTGGAGAGGAGGAAAGGATTCAGTGGTAATGAAATTATAACTTCAAAAAACATAAAAATTATTAGAAAAAGAACCAAGGCTATTACAGAGTAGTTGACGAATGCCTCCCCTATGCGTAGGTACACGAATGAATGGAGAGAAGGAGCCATGCAATGTTGGTGAGTAGTTGCTCTGAGTAGCAACTATGACAGATACAAAGGTTTCAAGTCTGGAACATTAATCAGAGGCCCTGGGCCTGGATGTCGGGATAAGGCCAGAGTGTGTATGAAGAAAAATTAGTACCTCAATTAGGAAACTAGTATAGCTGTTCAGGTTAGAGAAAAAAAATGCAATGATTTAAAAATTTGGGTGAGGAGGCATAAATTGTTTGCACTGAATCTCCATTGGAGGGGGTGGGTTGATGCAAAAGTACCTGTGGCAGGATAGGATACTAACTCCTAAGAAGTAAATGTTGTTTCTGGTTTGGGCTAATAGTGCAGAAAATATACACATAACAGGGTAATCTGGCCCCTGTGGAATGCTGTGTGTGCCTTTAAGGCAAGCTTTCAACATAGACAACTTTTGAAAGTTAGATAAAGGTAGTGGTTTGGGATTTGAACACAAGATTGGTTTCCATATGAATGGCAGCTTCTTTGGTGAGTTGCTCATTAGCTAGCTCTGAAAAGACAATCTCTGCGGTGGGTATAAGAGAAAAGGCCAACCAAAGAAACACACCCTGAGTAGAGCCAAAGAAACACACTTTGACCCTGCAACCAGAACCAAAGAAATGCACCCTGACCCTGAAACCAATGCCAAAGAAACACACTTTGTCCCTGGAATCAGAGCAAGTGAAATACACCCTGGTCCTAAAATTAGAGCCAATAGGCTAAAAAGGACCAGTGAAAGAAACACTTTGGCCCTGAAACCAGAGCCAAATCTGACCCTTTCAGTGCAGAAAACCAACCAATCCTTGAGCTCAAGGTCTAGCTAGTCTGAGCTCAAGGATCGAAATCTGACCAATCCCTGCCCTGGAAAAACTCCACCCTCTAAGAAGCCCTATATAAACCCTGTGGCTCTCCGCCTGTGCCTGTTTGGCCTTCCAGTCTGTTCTCTGCCACCCTGGATTCTTCTGGGTTCTTCCCTCCCAATAAATCTCTGGAATGAGGTTTGGGTGAAATCTTCTTTCGCTGCTTTTGCTGGAACAGAGATGCAGAGACAACTCTGAGACTGGAGCCGAACTATAACAATTTCGCAGAGAGAACCCTCTTCTTGCCAAAGCAGAACTGATAACACTGAGAAAGCCTTTTCCTGAAGCAGGGCTGTAAGCTGCTATGCTTACTGTGACCTGTGGTATTCCTTGGTTCCCGAGTGCCACAATACTTTCCATCTGAGCTGTAACACTCAGTATTCTGGCTATGAGTGCCAGAGTCCTTGTCCATCAGGTCAAAAAACCTACAGTATCCAAACACCATAAATTCAGAAACAAAACATAGATAATGCCCTCTTTCAATTTAAAATTTACAACTTGCTAGGCAATGGTGGTGCATGCCTTTACTCCCAAGCACTCCCGACATTCCCGACAGTGGCAGGTGGATCTTTGAGTTCCAGGCCTGCCTCATCTACAGAATGAGTTCTAGACAGCCAGGGCTATCAAGAGAAACATTGTCTGGGGGAGGGAGGGATTAAAATTCAATTATTTTAATTTCCTTCTAACTCCAGATTCCCCCCTCTAGGTAAGAACTTCTTAAGTACAAACTACAAGTTCTCTAAAGACAGCAGTAGATTAACATACACTCACAATAAATAAATAAAATAAAGACATTAAATGCTTAACTGGTGACTAAGAGAATGACACAAAATCAATTCTGTAATGCTGTACATCAATAACTGCATATCATTTTTTTTTTAATTTAGGAAGAAAGGAAAACACACACATCAAACATCTCATCACCCAAACCACCTATACACTAAGAAACGGTCAGAAAAAGGCCAAAAGATCCCGATCCCGTACTGATTTAAAACAAATTGGCTCACATCAACACACAAAAGGTTACATTTCCAACTTGAGCTGAGATTTTCACACAAGATCTGAACCAAGATTTACTGGTTATAGTGTGGCATTCCAATACCACATTACCAGACATTTTGTATAGAATACAATTAGGTTGTATAGTTCACAGGGGAAATTCCAAAATCTATCTAGCCTGGAAAGATTTCATCTTTCTTTACTATAGACACTGGATCTAAGTTTGGCTCTAAAAGGATCCTTTGTTTCACACCCAACTTTGGCTCCCACGTACAACATCATCGAGCTGGAGTGATGAAAACTGAACTCACTCCAACTTGCCTCCCAGGCAAATCTCTGATTACTATGCATCACCCAGCTCCATCCAGATACATAGTCATGCAAGGGTCCTTTCTTCAACACACATCTTCTCCAACCCTTTTTCCAAATAGTCCCTCGGGTCACCATGGAGCAACAGACAGGAAATGGGGATGGAGCACCTCCAATCCAACCTAGATCAAAGCGGAGCAACAGACAGGAAATGGGGATGGAGCCTCTCCAATCCAACCCTTCTAGGAGCCTCGGGCGGGAACAAGGCTGCGGGTCCCGGGGTCCAGACTGTCCTGGTTCTCTGGCCCGGGGTTGACAGACAGAGACACATCCGGGCAGGATGGTCCTCGCTTGTAGTCACTGGAGAAGGGGAGACGGCAAGCGAGCCTGGCAACCCGAATCCCGCACGGCCCCGCACACGCCACGTCAGGCAGTACCTAGATCGTAGCGTCGCTGGCCGCGGCACTCAGGAGGCGTCACCCAGGGTCAGGGTCAGAGCTGGGCTTGGCCTCCCTCTCGGACCTCACCCGCAATAGCCGCCCCGCCAAGCCTCTTCTGATTGGCTCCTTGCGTGTTTGCTTCCGGGTGAGAGGTCGCCCCGTCGCCCCAGCAACCGAGCCCCGCAGTGTCCTAGCTCCCAGCTTCCTCTGAGGCTGCAGAGCTGGCGAGCCAGGGGGAATCACAGAGTCGCGACAGTCTGACCTACACGTCTCCGTCAAGTGAGTGTGCTTCCTCCGAGGCCGCTGGAGAAGGGCGCCTTTACCTGGAGCGGATGGATCCGCAGCCAGCCTCTGTGTCCACACTAGGGCAGAGGGGCTCCAACACCCCCCCCCTCCCCGCCGCGTCTGGGAATCCGGAGAGATGGTGTGGTTGGTTCGCTGTGTCTGTCTCTCCGGATTTGTTTCCTTTACTGTGCCAGACCGTAGCAATCACAGAGGTTCCTTGCTAGCTCACCCAATCCACAACGGAAACATCACCCCTTTATTTAGATAACTTTTTATTAGTTTCTTTAATCAAACGCATAAAGTCTGACATATTTAATACAATGAAGTTACCCCTGTACAGATGGAAAAGAAATTAAGCTTAATGTCCCTAGACTAATAATGACTGCTCATTTATGCACAATGCCAACTCAACACGGTAAAACGGGGTACTCCCCGCTCCCCAAGTTGAAAGCACAGCTACAGTTTTCAAAAATTCAAATTATACGTGCATATATCTTTATATAAATCTATTTATAAATCTATCTATTTATCTATCTATATAAAGATAAATAGCAAATGTTACGCGTCGATAATAATAACAGCTTTTCCAGGTGCCGAAGTCATCTGAGCAAAAGTACAGACGTCCAGCAACACCTTAAAAACAACAAAACAAACAAACAAAAACCACCAAACAACCAGAAAACAGAACAGGTTTGTGACTGCTAGGGTACCGGCACTACGTTTTTTATTAATTCTCAATCATCATTTGGAAAGAAAACACCCGAGTAATATCATTAAAACCATCTTGAACAAAGCTACTGTTGCATATCATAAAGCAGAAATAAGATTTTTTACATTCATAAAAGTATGATACATTGCAGTAACACCAGAGGTCGCTTGATTGCACTTTTCGAGCAGAGGGCCTAAAAGGGTGGCGTAACAAAGCAATGCACTCTATTAGATGGCTTTCCTTTCAGTGGTGGCCCAGGACAAAGCATTCTTTTCCCATGAATATCAGTCAAAAGCCATCATTAAAAGCAAACACACACACACACACACACACACACACACACACACACACACACACACACACACACACAAGAAAATGTCCAAAAACCATCATTAACACATACACACAAAGGAAAATGTACCCCCAAATAAAACTGAACAAGACTGGTCTCATATAACTGCACAAGACATAGAAACCTGAAGATGGGTTGAGGACTTCTTGCTCAGTTTCTTGTATGATCAATTGTATTTAGTAGTGTCCTGCTTAATAGGAGCTTAATGGTTATGTCTCGAGGGCCATTCATGCCCTAAATAGGCATTTTTTGTTAGTACTCAATACTGAGTGGGGTGGTGGGGTGAGAAAAGAGATTTAACTGATTCAGTCACTGTTTTAGTTGAAGTGAGTGTGATAGGAGACAGACACGAAAGCAATGTTTTAATAGGACCCTGAGTTCTGAGAATAGAAGAGATTAGGGGTGAGAAGAAATAGACTTTGGGAAAGAGGCCATATCTGAGCTAAGGTGACAGAATAACAATATGTAGAGTCTACAGAGTTATACACTAGCCTTCATGGCTTATATAGTAGCTTCATCCATTTAGTTAATGTAAGGATGAGGATTGAGGGGTAAGCTACTTGCCTTAGGCCAGAGAAAATAATGGAGTCTAGGTAGTCTAATGCTGGAGCATGCACCACTGTATTCTGTTTCCAGCTCCAGAATGAGTGGTAGTTTGTCAGCCAAAGAAGTCATGCCTGCTTCAGGGAGAGTCCAGCATGGCTCCTGTGGGCCCTGCAAGTAGAACTGGTAATCCTATAAGTATTGTTGAACACTTAGAAAGCAGTTGTGTCTCTGTCCCTTTCCCAATTTCATATTTTGAAAATACCTCTTTTTCCAGTTAAGAGCTGGACTGATCTGAGGTTTTTCCTGAGGCCCTTGATGTATGGAGAAAGAACATGGCTCCTCAAAGCCGGGTAGGGGGGTTGGGGGAAGTATGCTTGGCAAAGCTAGAAATAGCCTAGGGCCAGGACCCTGGAAGCTTTCCCCTGAGGCTCTGATGTATGAAAATAGAAGAGAGCTCCTTCTCTAAAACATGGAACATGCTTGGCAGAGTAGGTAATAACCTGGGATCAGGGCCTTGGGGGTGCTGTGGCTTTGGAGCAAGAACCCAACTCTTTCCATTCTAAGGAGCTATGGTTATCAGTCCCAAGGCCATATTCTGAACAACACAAAACTAATTATATTTGGGGCTGCAGAGATGGCTCAGTGGTTAAGAACACTTGTTGCTCTTTCAGAGGACCTGGGTTCAATTCCCAGCCCCTACACGGTAACTCACAGCCATCTGTAACTTTGGTTCTAGGGAATCTTTTGCTCTCTTCTGATTTCTAAGGGCACCAGGCAGAAATGTGATGTTCACAAATACATTTAGGCAAAACACCCATACATATAAAACAAAATAACATTTTTTTTCTCTTCTATTTTCCTTTTTTTTTAAGGCAGGGTCTATTTAGTGAGTTCCAATCCAGTTAAGGCTTACTGTCCCTATTAAAAAGTGAATTTTATGCTAGTAAAATTTTAAAAAATTGATAATTTATGCAAAATTTCTCAGGAGGTGCTTGCACCTGAGTAAGAGAAGTTTACCTGCTTGGTGCTGAAAACACATTTGTTATAGGTTTTTTTGACATTAAAATCTTTAAACTTACCGTTATTTTCTTCAATCTCTTAAAGCATCTTCAGAGGTGTATAAGATAAAGTTTATATTTCCAAATGGCGACAAATATGGTAAGCATGCTTTTCAATTACCTTATCATTCAGGAAATTCAATAGTTTAGAATTGTAAAAGCAAGACCAACTCATTTTATAAAACTGTTATTGGTATATTATCTCACTTAAAAGAAGTAACAGACATCCTAATAGATATTTAAATCAAAACTGTTACATCTAGACAGGATGCCTTAGAAACCCCATCTGTCCTTCATTCTGGCCCCCTAGTCCTGTGAAGCTGGAAAACCAAAGACCAAACAAAACACATACACAGGGTGGGGGCCAGTTGTGAATAGGCTTTGAGTAACTATTGAATGGCCCTAGTCCACATTCCCCATTTCAAAGCTCCAGGCTCCCTTTCCTCATTAGATGGTGACTGCACAAGAACATCGTCTGGGATCTATGAGAGGAATGGGACAGGCATCCACACTACGCCTAATGGGATTATCTACACAGGAAGCTGGAAAGATGACAAGGTAATATTTTTTACTTTAATTATGCTAGTGGATAAATGATCCTATGGGTTAAATTATTCTAAGCATTTCATTATTAGTAAAAGCTAGTTTAGCAACTCATAGCTGTAATGACATTATATAGGAGACCTAGGTGTGAGGATCTCAGGTTCCTGGACTGTGTAGGGAGACCCGTGTTTAAACTAGACTCTATAATGAAGATAAATGGTTTTACTTAGCATCTGTTATTCTATACATAATATTAAGCTCATGAAGAGAGCAAACATTATTATCTTTTTCAGCTCCCATCCAAGGCCAAACATATTATTTTTTTTCTATTTAATCTTGACAACCATGAGATGGGTCCCATTAATCTTCCTTTTTTAGATGAGACAAGTCAGACTCAGGTTTCTTGTACAGGTGGTAAAGTAGGTATGTGTGCCCAGCTCTACTTGGATACAAATTCACATTTTAAAAAAAAAAAGTATTACAGCCGGGTGTTGGTGGCACACACCTTTAATCCCAGCACTCAGGAGGCAGAGGCAAAAAGATCTCTGTGAGTTCTAGTCCAGCCTGGTCTACAGAGCTAGTTCTAGGACAGGCTCCAAAGCAATACAGAGAAACCCTGTCATAGCCCCCCCCCCAAAAAAATCAGTACATCTATGTATCTATGTGTGAGTGCCACGGCATATGTGAGATGGTTCACTCATATGCCTAGGATCAAACCTGGCTTGTCAGGCTTGAGGAAGTAAGCTTACTCACTGAGCCATTTAGCCAGCCTTGTGCCCAGATTTTCACTCTAAACTCATGTCCTCATGTTATATGGTAGATACTTTTCCCACTGAGCCATCACTCTACCCTAAATTCACATTATTATTATTTTTTCCTTTCTCTCTCTCTCTCTCTCTCTCTCTCTCTCTCTCTCTCTCTCTCTCTCTCTGTTGTTTTGGCTGTCCCCAAACTCACCAGGCTGTCCTCATAGAGATCTGCCTGCCTCTGCTTCTCTAGCACTGTGATTAGTGGTGTATGCCACCACTGCTTGGCTGAATCCACATTCTTGAATACTCTGTGCTGCTTTCTGAAGTGGCAACACCAGTTGCTCTTTAAGACTTTGATGTATTTAGGTATCTCGAGGATCCTGATTATCATCACCTTATTCCCCTAATGTTCAGATACCCTCGATTCAGAACATTTTAGCTAGTAGGCTTCATAAGAAAGAACAATGGTAAATAAGAGTAATGGGGGGGGGGGGAAGAATAATGGTAAATAAATAAGGGGAAGAATAAGGGTAAAAGCGTCTACTTTTGTGGAAGGCAAGGGGTGATACAAAGATGATAATGTCTGATAGGCTTGTGTGTACAGTGAAGGCTGGTTTCTGTGCATTCCCTTTGTTATAAACAGATGAATGGCTTTGGAAGACTTGAGCATTTTTCAGGAGCTGTGTATGAAGGACAATTTAAGAACAACATGTTTCATGGACTGGGGACTTACACATTCCCAACTGGGGCAAAGTACACCGGGAATTTCAATGAAAATAGGTAACCTGAAAATTTAAGAACAACTACAATTCTTTTATTTATTTATTTATTTATTTATTTATTTATTTATTTATTTTATATAACCAAGTCCATTTAAATGAAAACAAACATTTATAGACAATATTTGGGAATTTAGGCGTCATTCTTTCCAAACTACTTCCTGCTGGTAAGGGGCGCTGTCATGGGGGATTTGAAGATGCAGAAATCCTGGCTGTAGTCTGAAAGGCTGCTTTGCCCAGCTGTTTTGAATGTAGGATCACCTGGCACTGTTTCATGCGGTCTGGAAGGAATCCACATCTTTGCATTTTCTGTGGAAACAAAAATAGAAATCCTCTCTCCCTTCTCACATGCACCCTAACCACCCTCCCCTCCCATCCCCCCACCCCAATTCCATATGTAGGGGAATGCCATCCAGTTGGGGTCATGTAGATCTGACAGGTCATGTGAAGTAGGGACTAGGGCTTCTCTCCTGTCTCTAGATTAAGGCAGTTATCCATCCATGGGGGATGTGTTAGCAAGGTCCTATTGTGCACCAGAGATACATCCTGGCTCCACTGTCTGAGGTCCCTTAGACTGGGAAATGGGGAGGGGGGCAGCGAATGGAGAGAGAAGTAGGAGAAAACGAAGGGGAGGAAAGGAAAACACATGCGACTAGGAAGATTGAGCCCAGTTAGGAATAGAAGATGAGAGAGAGAGAGAGGGAGAGAGAGAGGGAGAGGGAAAGGGAGAGAGAGAGAGAGAGAGAGAACATAAAAGAGGGAGCCAATATTGGTTTGAAGATAAAATTGAACACAAAGAAAAGTCTAGAGAACTACAAGACTGCCGCCAACTAACAATTTGAGTATCCGTGGAAAGGCTACCATAAATGCCCTTCCTGGATAGTGAGATCAACAACTAACTTATCCATGGAGCCCTCATCTAATGCCTGTTGGAAACAGGAGCAAACACCCATACCTAAACACTGAGTCGAACTAGAACCCAGATGCAGATGGAGAGGACAAGACCAGGTGGCAGAAACACATAGAGACAGCTTACCTGAACAAGGAGGAGCTAACAGGACACCAGACTGATAGCTGGGAAGCCAGCATGGGACTGACTCAGGCCCCCTGAACAACTACAATTCTAAAAGATTCTCTGTAGTCATGCTTGTTAAATAGTGTATTTAATTAATGCTAAATAATCTTTGAGACAAATTTGATCTCTACAAAAGCCTGAGTTATTTTAGTGTTTGGGGAATGTAAGATGGGAAGATGTGACCATTAAAGCTTTCTAAACTGGGGTATCATACCCCCACTCCTGCCAAACAGGGTTTCTCTGTTGTAGCCCTGGCTGTCCCAGAACTCACTCTGTAGATAATGCTGGTCTCGAACTGAGATCCACCTACTTCTGCTTCCCAAGTGCTAGGATTATAGGCTTGTGCCACAATACCTGACTGATTATTAGACTTTTGTTTTGATTTGGTTTTTAAGACAGGGTTTCTTTGTGTAGCCCTGGCTGGTCTAGAACTCACTCTGTAGACCACGCTGACCTCGAATTCACAGAGATCCTCCTGCCTCTACCTACTAAGTGCTAGGATTAATGGTGTGGGCCACCACCACCTGGCTTTGATTATTACACTTTTAATGTAGCCTGTGTGGTCTCTGTTAGTGTAGAGTGAGTGGAAAATGTGTGATTCTTGAGCAAATTTAGCTCAAGAATAATTTTAACTCAAAGTATCTCAGTTTGTATTTGTGAAAAAGCAGGGTCATGGCTAATTTCATAATGATTATTTTGTTCTGACCAGCTGTTCCTAAACACTTTTATTATGCTAATTTTAAAGTGTAAGCAAAATTAGACAATGCTAAAACTAGAACCATACCTACTGTTGTCATTTTTGAGCATATGATTGCAGGAAAAAGAAGTGAAATGGAATTCATTATTGGGTGGATGCAGTTTAGTGATAGCGTGCTTGTGCAACATGCATGAAACTTTAGGTGCAAACTCTAACACCACATAAAATCGGGCATGGTGAATGTGCCTGTAATCCTAGCACCTGAAGGGTCAAAGGTGGAGGCCTCTCAGCCATGGCTCTATGGAGAGTTTGAGGCCAACCTAGGCTACATGAGATCCTGTATCAAAAAGGAAACAATTTTTATGAAGCCAGTGTGAATACATTTCAAAGAGGACAGAACTGTATTCATTTCTTTTGACTCCAGGTTTATAACAAGGAGACACAAACTGCTTCCATTGATATTAATAAAGAGAGAAAAAGCCGACTCATGGGATAAAGCCTGTTTGCATATATGAGTGAGTTTCACCACTCTGGTGGGACTAAAAGAACACCACCCAATCACAGCACTGTGAACAGAACTGTCGATGTAGAAGTATTTGTTAAATAAATGAATGTTTGGGTTGAGCCAGATAACCATACACAGTTTTCAAGTTTGAATTTTTTGAAATGTTAGTTTATCTGACCTGAAACTGTAAGCACCAAAATGTGCATAGAGACAGTGTTTGTTTGAAATAGTGTGTTTTCCTAGTGTATGGACACAGCACACCAATTCTCAATAGAAATCAGAAGCAGAAAGGTAAAATGCCTTAGACAGGGTGTATATATACTATACCAGGCCAACTAGCTTGTGTCTGGACTGTAAATGCCAAATTCTAATTAATGAGCAAGCACACTTGTCACTTTTGCAGGGTAGAAGGTGAGGGAGAGTACACTGATATTCAAGGCCTTCAGTGGAGTGGGACCTTCCACTTCACAGCTGCTCCCGGCCTGAGACTAAAGCTCTACATGTAGACATGCTGCATTAATGCCAAGATGTGGCCATTGCAACTTCCCTGCAGGCAAAGCAACTAACCCTTCAACTGAAATGGCTTGTACCCCTCTGTAAGTTCACCAATAAAACTGTCACTCACTTAGGCTTTTGTGATTTTGTGTGTGCATGTGTGTGATTATGTGCTTGTGTGTGTGTGTGTGTGTGTGTGTGTGCATTTGCCCATACAGTTGCATCTGGAAGCCAGAAGTTCATGTCAAAATGTACTTTTCAATCACTTATTGCCTAAATTTTTTTTTTTTTTTTAATTTGGAGACAGGTTCTTGCTATATAATTCTGGCTGGTCTAGAACTCACTATGTAGACCATGCTGGTCCCAAACTCACAGAGATTCACCTGCTTCTTCCCCTGTGAGTTCTGGGATTAAAGGCATTTGTCACTATACCCAACTTTTTTTCACCTCATTTTTGAGACAGTGTCTCTCACTGAACCTGGAACTCACAGTTTCTGCTACATATACACCCAACTGACCACTGATGTTAAAGGTGCATGTCACCATACCTGGACAGTGAATTTGGAGTTTGATTTTTTGCAAGGCAAGCCCTTTGCCCACTGAGTCATCTAACCAACTCTTGAATTCTCTTTTGTCTGGTTATTTATTAATTTATGTGTTTTTTTGTTTTTGTTCCTTTTTGTTGGTTTTATGTTTTTGTTTTAGACAGGGTTTCTCTCTGTGTATCCCTGGCTATCCTGGAACTCTTGCTGTATACCAAGCTGGCATGGAATTCAGAGATCCACCTGCTTGTGCCTCCTGAGTGCTGGGATTAAAGGTGTGTTCCATAACTGCCCGACCTTGAATTCTGTTCTTATTAGCAAATAACTTTATAAGTTGTGTGAATCAACTCAAAGTTTGTGATTTGTAAAAGTGGAGCAGTGCTATTCAGATGGTGGCTATGTCAATTTCTAACTCCATACCTCAATTTTTGTGAACCCTCCCTTTAACTTGTGCTTCAGGGTTATTTTGGAAGAAAAGCATTTTTCATGAGTTATCTCATAGAGTTATGCAATCAGTTGCTCCCCACCAAATTGATTTACTGTTGTGGTGATTCTTAATATGAAATATGTCTTTTGAAGGAGAACCTAAGAACAGTGCACTGTTGCAGACTGTAGCTGCCATGTTGTACTGCATATCCCAGTGCATATGCTTGACAGACAATAGCTTAGTCACTCCTGTTCCTTCTTCAACCCCCAGAAACCACTCCTCTATTGCTTGGTTCTATGAACTTGACTATTTTACATACCTTATATATGGGGTAATGCAACATTTGACTGACAGTTATACTGGAGAGTCAGCTGTCTTATCACATATTAAAAATTTTCTTCCCATCCTATGTACTCTTTCTTTCTTTCTCCCTTTTTTTTCCCTATGGGGCAACTTTGAAAAGTGAAACTTACTCACTTGGGAGTTTACTAAAAAGGTCTATAGTTTTTTTTTCTTTTACATATCCATCCCAGTTCCCTCTTCCTCCCTCCATCTTCCCCTATCTCCCTCCCTCCCATGCCCCCCAACCACCCTCCCATCCTATCCCCCCCACTCCACAGGGAGGGTGATGCCTTCCAGGAGGGGTCAACAAAATCTGTCAAGTCATTTGGAGTAGGGACTAGGACCTCCCTCCTGCTTCTAGGTTAAGGGAGTATCCCTCCATGGGAAATGTACTCCCAAAGTCCTTTTGTGCACCAGGGATACATCCTGGTTTCACTGTCAGAGGTCCCTTAGACTGCCCAGGCCTTCTAACTGAGACCAATGTTCAGGAGGTCTGAGTTGGTTCAATGCTGGTTTCCTAGCTATCAATCTGGGGCCTAGTAGCTCCTGCTTGTTCAGGTCAGCTGTCTCTGTGGGTTTCTGTAGCCTGGTCTTGTCCTCCTTTTCTGCATCTGGATTCCAGTTCGGCTCAGTGTTTAGCTGTGGGTGTCTGCTTCTGTTTTCATCAGCTACTGGATGAGGGCTCTATGATGATGGATAAGTTAGTCATCAATCTCATTATCAGGGAAGGGCATTTATGGACTTCCCACTGTTGCTCGAATTGTTCGTTGGGGTCAGTCTTGTAGGTCTCTGGACATTTCTCTAGAGTCACTTTTCTCTTCAAACCTATAATGGATCCCTCTTTTATGTCATCTCTCCCTCCCTCCCTCCCACCTTTCCTCTCTTCCTCCCTCCCACCCCTCTCATCTATTCTTCCCCTGACCCAATCTTCCTAGTCCCATGTGCTTTCCTCTCCTCCCCTTCTCTTTCTTCTAGCTCCCTCTCCACTCACTGCCTCCCCACTCCCAATATGCTCAGGAGATCTTGTTCCTTTCCCCTTCTGTGAGGGATCTTGTATGAATCTCTTAGATTCCTCCTTGTATCCTAGTTTCTCTGGCGGTGTGAATTATAGGCTGGTGATCCTTTGCTCTATAATGATATAATGATATAAAATGAGTGAGTATATACCATGTTCCTCTTTTTGTGATCATTCAGGATGGTTTCTTCAAGCTCCATCCATTTGCCTGCGAATTTCAAGATTACATTTTTCCCCCCGCAGAATAGTATTCCATTGTGTAAATGTGCCATGTCTTCTTTATCCATTCTTCAGTTGAAGGGCATCTAGGTTGCTTCCAGGATCTTGCTATTACAAATAATGCTGCTATGAACATAGTTGAGCACGTGTATTTTTTTCATGGATGTGGATCATTTGGGTATATGACTAAGAGGGGGATTGCAGGGTCCTGTGGAAGACTGATTCCCATTTTCCTGAGGAACCGCCATACTGTTCTCCAAAATGCTGTACCCAGCAGTGGAGGAGTGTTCCCCTTTTTCTACATCCTCTCCAGCGTCATTGGTGTTTCTAATTTTAGCCATTCTGATAGGAGTAAGATGGTATCTCAGAGTTGTTTTGATTTGCATTTTCCTGATCGCTAAGGATGTTTAGCACTTTCTTAAGTGTCTTTCAGCCTTTTTGATTTCCTATATTGAGAATTCTCTCCTCAGTTCTGTACCCCACTTTTAATAGGGTTATTTGGTGTTTTGGTGACAAGTTTCTTGAGTTCTTTGTATATTTTGGAGATCAGTCCTCTGTCAGATGTAGAGTTGGTGAACATCTTTTCCCACTCTGTGGGTTGCCATTTGGTCTTGTGGACTGTGCCTTACAGAAGCTTCTCAGTTTTAGGAGGTCCCATTTATTAATTGTTGATCTCAGTGTCTGTGCTACTGGAGTTATATTCAGAAAGCTGTCTCCTGTACCAATTTGTTCAAGAGTACCTCCCACTTTCTCTTCTAAAAGGTTCAGTGTGGCTGGATTTATGTTGAGGTCTTTGATCCATTTGGACATGAGTTTTGTGCATGGCGATAGACATGGGTCTATCTGCAGTCTTCTACACACCATCATCCAGTTGTGCCAGAACCATTTATTGAAGATGCTTTTCTCCTTCTTTTGTATACTTTTAGTTGCTTTGTCAAAAATCAGGTGTTCATGGGTGTGTGGGTTAATATCAAGATTTTCGATTCAATTCCATTGTTCTACCTGTCTATTTTTGTGCCAATACCAGGCTATTTTCAGGACTATGGCTCTATAGTAGAGCTTGAAGTTGGGGATTGTGATGCCTACTGAAGTTCCTTAGATTGTACAGGGTTGTGTTGGGTATCCTGGGTCTTTTGTTTTTCCATATAAAGTTGATTATTTCAAGGTCAGTGAAGAATTGTGCTGGGATTTTGATTTGAATTACATTGAATCAGATTGCTTTTGGCATGATTGCCATTTTTACTATGTTTAACCTATCCAAGAGCATGGGAGACCTTTCCATTTTCTGGTATCTTCTTTAATTTCTTAATTTAAAGATACAAAGTTCTTGTTTTATAGGTTTTTTTTGTTTGTTTGTTTTTTGTTTATCTTGTATCCTGTCACTTTGCTGAAGGTGTTTATCAGCTGTAGGAGTTCCCTGGTAGAGTTTTTCTGGTCACTTACATAAACTGCAAATAGTAACAGTTTGACTTATCCCTTTCCAATTTGTATCCCCTGGATCTCCTTTTGTTGTCTTATTGCTTTAGCTAGAACTTCAAGTACAATATTGAAGGGTATGGAGAGAGAGGGCAGCCTTGTCTTGTTCCTGATTTTATTTTAGAGGAATAGTCTTAAGCTCTCCATTCAGTTTGATGTTGGCAGTTGGGTTGCTGTATATTGCTTTTATTATGTTTAGTTATGTTCCTGTTATCACTGATCTCTCCAAGACCTTTATCATGAAAGGGTGTTGAATTTTGTCAAAGGCTTTTTCAGCATCTAGGGAGATGATCATGTGCTTTTTCTTTTTCTTTTTTTTTTTCTTTCTTTTTTTTTTTTTTTTTTGTGGTTTTTCTTTTTCAAACTGAAAGATTGTGGATCACATTGATAGATTTTCGTATGTTGAACCATCCCTGAAACCCAAGGATGAAGCCTACTTGGTCATAGTGGATAATTTCTTTGATGTGTTCTTAGATTCGATTTGCCAGTATTTTATTGAGTATTTTTGCATCAATGTTCATGACGGCTATTGGTCTGTAGTTCTCTTTCTTTGTTGTGTCTGTGTGTGGCTTGGGTACCAAGTTAATTGTGGCCTCGTGAAGAGTTTGGTAATGAACCTTCTGCTTCTGTTGTGTGGAACAATTTGAGGAGTATTGGTATTTCTCTTCTTTGAATTTCTGGTAGAATAGAATTTTGCACTGAAGCCATCTGGCCTTGAGGTTTTTTTTTTTTTTTTTTTTTTTTTGTTGTTTTGTTTTGGTTGGGAGGCTTTTGATTTTTGATGACTGCTTCTCTTTCATTAGGGGTTAGGGGTCTATGTAAGTGCTTATCTGTTCTTGTTTTAATTTTGGTAAGTGACAGTTATCCAGAAATTTGTTCATTTCCTTTGAATTTTCAAATTTTGTGGAGTACAGGTTTTCAAAGTATGACCTGAAGAGTTTCTGGTTTTCCTCAGTGTCTGTTGTTTTGTCCCTATTTCATTTCTAATTTTGATAATTTGCATGTTCTCTCTCTGCTTTTTGGTTAGTTTGGATAAAGGTTTGTCTATCTTGTTGATTTTCTCGAAAAACCAACTCTTTGTTGCAT